TAAAGCCCATAGAATTCAGACTGGAATTCAGGAAAATGCTTACTAAGATTTCAAACTAAAGCATCTTGATTAGAATTCCAGAGCATCTAGACTAAGATTATAGAGAATTTCGACTTAGATTCTAAAGAAACTCAACTGGGAATCTTCCAGAAAATGCTAGAGAAGTTCTTCCTGAGAATCGAAGGAATCATGACTGAACATTTTTTTTACATAATTCCGACTGTCCTACTTCTATTCAATCTTAATTGGAACTCCAAAGCATCCTGACTAAGGCTGCAGAGAATCTCAACTGCTACAATCCTACCCGGAATTCCATAGAATTTACACTAAGTTATCAAAGAATCCCAACAGTGATTGAAGAGGTTTTTTAATTTGATTTTAAGATATCTCAACTACGATTCCCAAGAATCCCTTCTTGGATTCTACAGAGTCCTCACTTGAATTCCAACGAATCTTGACTGAAGCTGAATTATGAAATCCAAAGAATCCTGACAGGAATTCTGGAGCGATCTGACTAAGATTTCAGACTAAAGCATCTTGATAAAGGTATATCTAGACTAAGGTGATAGAGAATTCCAACTGAGATTCAAAAAAATCTCGAAGGAATGATGACTGAAACTTTTTTTTCTCAAAATTCTCACTGTACTGCTTCTATACAATCTTGAAAGGAACTCCGGAGAATCCGGACTAAGGTAGCAGAGAATCTCAACTGCCACAATCCAAACCGGAATTCTAGAGAATTCACACTAATTTATCAAAGAAACTGTGATTGAAGAGAGTATTGACTGTGATTTAAAAAAATCTCATCTACGATTCCCAAGAATCCCATCTTAGATTCAACAGAATCTCCACTGGGATACCAAGGAATCTTGACTGAAACTCAATTACGAAATCCAAAGAATCCCAAATTTCCGACTATACTAATTCTGATCAATCTTTCGACTGGAATCTCAAACACTCTAGACTAAGATTCTAGAGCAGCTAGACTAAGATTATAGAGAATCCCGACTGAGATTCCAAATAACATTGATTGGGGTTCTTCCAGAACGACCTCCACGTAATCCCGAGTTCAATTCCATAATATGTCGATAGGGTTTTTCCCACCTAGGCTTCCAGAGACTCCAGGCTTGATGAAGCCTCACTCGCGAGTTGGAAATGAGCCGAGCGTAGCATTTTTCTGAGGAGTATAATGCCTACTGCCAAATCATTCCACTGAGCTTCAGAGCTTGTGATCGAAGGGGGATAACATGAGAGTGAGGTTTGCGGCCATTCATGTTCATGTTTTCTATCACACGCTCTTACTCTTACTATGGGTGAACTCTGAGCTTCTTGCGTCGAACGAAAAAGTCATCCGGAGTCTCGAAAAGCGCACCTCACGTCAAATCATCCTCTCGAGGAGTTTCTGTTTACTTCTTCCATATTCCTGTCGCCACTCAGGTGAGGAACGGCTAAACTCGCAGGACAAGAGTGTTTTAAAACCTCCAGTGAGTTTGAGGAGTTTCAGCAAGCCTGAGAGAATCTAGACAGGAACTCCATCAATGAATGCCTCCGCCTTCTATTTCTTATTCTTATTCTTCTTCTTATTTGGATTTTAATGCGTCCCTACTGGGACTTTACACCGGCTGTCTCTCTTTGAGCACTTCCACAGTTGTTATTTGAGAGCATTCTAAGCCTGTGCATTAGCATTATTGTGTGGCCAGGGAAGTCGAAACATTTTCCAACCCGATAAAAAATCCTAGTCCGGACCGGGAACCGAACCCAGCCGCCTCCAGCATGGTCTTGCCTTATAGCTGCACCTTTATCGACTGAGTTAAGGGAGGCCCCGAAAAATCCCGTGTTCTTTAGAATCCAGACAGGAATGTCACAGAATCCTCACTATCCAACTGCGATTGCAGAGAGAGTGGCGACTGGGATTTCAAAGAATATTTACTAAGATTCCTGAGAACCCTACTGAGATTTCGCTAGGAATCCAAAGAATCTTTATTGAAAATTAATTCTGGCATGTCGACAGTGCTTTCAACTACACACTTAGAAAAAATAATGTTAATTTAGGTGCCCTGAGACTGACATATACGAGCATCAATTTTGACATAACATTGAGTCATAATAGACGCAAAATTCAGTTCATTCAAACGTACTTTCGAACTTTTCAGTCTCGGAGCATTTTATTTTACATGACATGTTGGTTTACATCCCATCCTTTATGTCAAAAATGGATTCCGTCACGAGTAAGATTAGGTATTTCTTAGAGTGTAATCCTGTCTGGAATTCCTTAGACTTCTGACTTATATTGCAGAGAATCTTGACTGAGAATTTATAACATCTAGACAAACATTTCAGATATCTTCGACTGAGGTTCTAGAGCATCTGAACATCTAGACAATCCTGTCTGGTACTCCGCTACAACTGAGGTATTTCTATGGAATACTGACAGAATCGCCAAAGACTACCTAATAAGATTCCAGACAATAACGACTGCAATTACAATTGGTCTCGATTGGGATTTTAAAGAAACTCGACTGAGACAACAGATAACCTTCTCTGAGAATCTATAGAATACTCACTAGGATTCGAAGGAATCATGACTAAAACTCAATTCAGACATCCCGACTGTGTTACTTACACAAAATCTTGGCTGAAATGACCGAGAATCATGATTAAGATTGCAAAGAATCTCGACTGGCATCTTAGACAATCTGGACTAAGATGCTAAAGAATTCTTACTGAGATTCCTGGGAATCTTTCATTGAGGTTCTTCAAGCCGAATTCATCCAGCGAATCCAAACCAGAAACGAAAAGAATCTGGAATGAAATTCATCCCGTGAATTCCGACTGACATTCCAATGAATTACAACATGGGTTCCAGAGAATCTGAACTCAAAGGAAACCGACTGGGTTACTTCTAGAGAATCCAAACAGCAATTCCAGATAATCCTCGCTAAATTGTCAAAGAATCCCGACTTTGATTGCAATGAGTCTCGAGCGGGATTTTAATGCATCCCGACTGAGACTCCGATGGATCCTGTGTGGAATTCAAAGAATCTCGTTTGAGATTCTTTATAAATTCCAAGAAACCTTGAAAGCAACTTTAAAAAAAATACAACTGAGCTACTTCTATAATGTTGTGGGACAAAAAGGTCGAAGGAACAAAGGTCGAATGGACAAATGGTCGAAGCAACAAAAGGTCGAATGGACAAAAGGTTGAAATAGATTTAGATGGAGAAAACGTCGAATGAACAAAAGGTCAAATGGATAAACAGTCGAAATTGATAAAGTGGTCAAATTGTTGGAAAATAAGATGGGTGACTAACTCTTAAATATTTTTACTTCTAATTTTATTTAAGATCAGAAAATGTTACTGCAATTAAGGAACAAATAGCGGAGAGATGGACACTTTAAAATTAATAAGAATCATAAAAAAAAATTGGTCTAGTTTTTAAAAAAATGTTTTTTTTTTGTAAAATTGGGTAGAGAAAAAATTAAAAAAAAACAAATCATTGGTTTTTTGTACAAAATTTCACAATAAATTGTTTCACAAAAAATTTTATAATTTGTTCAAAAGTTGTTGTTCAATAATGTTTGCTAATTTGTATATGCCCAACTTGAAAATTTCACAGAAGATAGCATTTTTTAATAGCTGTTTAATGAAAAACATTCTCAAACTATTGGACTTTTCACTCAAAATTACTTGAATGTTTAAGCCATGTATATTTTATTCTGAAAGGGAATCCAGTTTCCTACAACTTTGGCACAGACGTCATTTCGATATGATGAGCCGTTTCTGTGCTACGATTTATTGAAAAATATCGAATACGCCATTTTGAAATATTAGGCGGGTGTCAAAATGGCCGAATTGCAGCACGGTTCATTGCCCCAAACGAACAATTTTGCAAGGTTTCATGGAATTCAGATGGGTAAAATAAAAAAAAATCGTTTATTTGTTCGCAATTTGGCGTTAACTCTTTGTCAAAGTACCTTGGGGTCAATTTGACCCCAGGGCCCTATTACAGGCTACAACTTTTTAATTTGGCAGTGAATTTGTCAAATTATTTAGTGATAAGGTGTATTCTCTTGGAATCTGCAAAACTAATCTGCTCTTAAATACTTATGTAAATTTTATTTTACATCAATTTTATTTATAAACTTAAGTTTCCGAGACCATGAGGTAAATTTGACCCCAAATTCAAATTGCCGTACCTCAACGATTTTTCATTGGTTTTATTTTTATGTTTTGAAATATTTGGTAAAGTAATTTAGTGCACTGTAAACAAACAAAAATGGGAATATTGCATTACTGCAAATGCTGACGGATGGGTTATGGTTCAAAAACTATTTAAAAATAGCTGAGACACGTCAATTTCAATGTGAGGTCAAATTGACCCCAGGGTACAGACAAAGTAAGCTTTTTTGGCACAGACAAAGTGTTAAACATTGTTTGAACTTTATGTTCTCGACCATCTTGATAAATTTATATCTAAGCCCATCGTACTTTTTAAAGACTGCAAAATTTTCAACCATTTGTGGTTCTAAAACTATACATAATTCGAATGCAAACTTTGACCAAACTGAAGCATTCATACTGATAAAGATCAATTAGTCAAGAGAAATGTAAATTCCCATAAAGACTCTGTTTCCCACCAAACCAAAGTTTTAGGTCAAAACAAACCCATTTCATCTAGGTACCCATCCGCCCCTCCCCTCTCTCAATTAAAGTAGCCTCGTTTTGCGTCGAGCAAACTTAACCCGTATCCATGTGAACAAGATGTATACACAAAAACATCAACATCAACAACAACCGAAACGCGATAGATAAGCCCTTGCCAACGCATGTTTACCAGAGTAGACTAAAGTAGGTACTCATGAACATCACCGCGTTACACGCTTCCGAACGACACCGGAACGAGCTCGGGCTCCTAGCGATAAGAACGCCGCAGGTTCCTCTTATCTGCTATAGCGATGATGATGATGATGATGACGACGACACCGATGACAATACTCACCGTCGTTTTTCCGATCCCGACTGCTCCGGTTCCGCCCCGTCGACGACTGGAAGCCCATCTGCGTGTGGTCGATGCTGGTCACGGCCGACATTGCACTGTGGCTATTATCACGAAAGTCGCCCGTCTCGGCCCATACTGCAAAACAGGAAGGAAAGAAAGTCGGAGGAAACGTTAGCTACCAGGTTTGGCGAGTAATTTAATTCAATTTGAGTAAGGCACTTGGTCTAAAGGTGAGATAATCTACTGCCCGATGGTGAGCTGAGGAAAAATTTATTGTCTTGCTGAGAGAAAGAGAGTGAATGTTTTCATTATTATGTTGCTAACGGGAGGTTGCCGAATGATTGAGATTCAAATTGAACGCTTATGTCAACGGCAATTTTCTCCTCGGCTGCCACGCCATATATCACACTACAAATTAGCCGTCACCCGTAAATAACTCAAAACTCTAAACGTCGGTAACGTCGGAGCAACAAATTATCCAAACACGCCATCTATCGCCGACGAACTCGATAATTGCTGACACGCATTTTCACGTGTTTTTCGGTATTGCTGCGTTGCCGTCCTCTAGGTCTCTGTCTCAAGCAAGGGCCAAATGAACGACCATCCATAAAGCACATAATCGTGTTCGAGCTTCTGGACACCATGGATATGCCTAGGACACCTTCCTAGCTAAGGCACCCTGACAGTTTCCGCCCCGCGCACGCCTCCGGTATAGGCCCGTTAAAGACATGGAACGCCACCAAGGACGATGACGACGACGACGACGATGCATACCGAAGTTTGCTGCGGCTACACACGACACTCTGAGCTGCAAGGGAAAAAGTGTCATTCCGCTGCAAAGAACCAATAAATCTTGGTGTCACACGCTGTCGACTCTGTGCACCACCGACCGACCGGTTTCTACACTATAAAATTGTCACTTCGAATCATGGGATGGAAGAAAGCACCACGACACGACGAGGAGGCTCACTTCTCACTCACAAAAAAAAGTAGAAAACACTTGGAAAAATGACACAAAAAAAAAATCGTAACATCATGTCGAAGGCGGCACAAGGAAAAATTTCCCTTAAACTGTGTGAACGAGCATTCCTGACAAGTGTTAAATGACAGTCTTTAAAATTTCTTCTTTGTACAACAGCAGCAGGCCGGAATCGACTGGGTGGGAGTGAGACGGTTAGATGGCAGTAGGCCGTAAAAAATCATGCGTGTTTTTCCTTCTGTTTCCACGGGAGTAGCTGCACGCTAACTTGAAGGTACCCATTAATGAGTGAAATTTCACCCAAAGTGGTTTAACTCAAAAAATAAGCTAGCATAAAACACATTACAGTTCATGTTGCGATTCATTGCAAATTTTACATACTTTTCATGCAAATCTGTTACCCATTTATTTATTTATAATAGGTAGCAGTTACTCATTCATGGGTAAAAATATTTGCCCCGTATTGAGTTAAGCCACTTTAATTCAAAATGGGTAAAATTGCGCACATTAATCGGTACTTCCCGGTTAGCGTGTAGAGAGAGAGAGCAGTTCTGACTGCAGCAGAAGAGCGGCAGATAATTTGTAGTAGCGTAAATTAACATAATTTTGAACAAGTCGGGTTTCATATCTCGCTTTTGTAAGACACGGGTCGGTTCTTGTTATGGGAGAAATGTATTTCATGAACCGATTTGTCGCTGTAAACGATTGTGCTTGGTTTCGGGTGGTATGTGCCCAAGTATGTGCCCTCTAGTTGAACATATGTTCGGTAAGTAGGGTGTATATGACGTGACATTACTTGCAGGAGGGTAATAGATACTACAAACTTGCATAATTTACCTTCTAATACTCAATATTTAAACTATTTAATACCAAAATATTGCATATTTATTCGATCGGATACAGAAAGATAAGCCTATTTCGTCGTCTCCCTTAGTGCCTAGTATTGATCATCCAGAGATTAGTTTCCGATTTACGGATTTATTCCACGAAGAAGAAGTTCCACCACAATGTCGAAGGCATATATTACACTGAAGATAGTGTCCATGTCATCCAAACCGATGTTGTATCAACCGGTGTAAACTAACGATTTTAAATTGGCTCACCACTTGACTAGCCTATTGGTCCCCAGTAAATCGATTAACGGACCCCATTCTAGTCAAAATGCTAGTACTACACTATGTTTGTTTTGATTCGCTCTGAAATTTTGACAGATAAAATAGAAACAAAGAACTTGGAAAAGTTCTGAAAACTGCGTAGAAGTGTAAAGTTTATTTGAGGTTGAGAAGCTTCGTAGAAGTTAAGGGAACTTTATTTTATTTCAGGGAAACTCATTATTGATCGGGAACCTCTATATAATTTTAGGGCATTGTTTTGAGGCCTCATGGTCTTGGAAAAGTTGTGAAAATTTCATTCGTAGAACTTCGCGGAAAACCGTCGAGAAACGTAGAAGTATAGCAAATTTTGTAGATTTTTTGCGAATTTCGTAGCATTTTGCGGAGCTGCGTAAAACTTCATATAAGTGTAAGGAATTTTGAAAAAGTTCAGGGAATTTTGTAGAAGATCTAAAGGTAGTTCAATAAACTTCTTGGAACTTCAGGGATCTTCTCTTCAGTATATGGAACTTCGTTGCAGCTTGTCAGAGATCTTAATTCGAAAAAGCTCTTGCGGGTTTTAAGAACTTCGTTAAATTTCAAGGAGCTTTCCAGATGTTCAAGAATATTTGTAGATGATAGGTGCCTTTCCAGAAGTGCAAAAATGTTCAGAGATCTTCGTAGAATTAAGAGAGATTGACCATATATGGAATTTGGAATAAATTCAGGGAACATCGTAGAAGTTGAGGAAATTTAACAAAACTTAAGAGAGTTTTGTAGATGTTCAGGAAACATTGCCTAAGTTACAGGATATTCTTTCAGACATCTTTCCTAGACAGCAGGAAATATTCAAAAGATCTCCATATAGACAACGATATTAGTAAAATTCTCTGGATATTTTCCAAGACTTCAGGTTGATAAAGTTCTGAGGATCTACAGCTGTTTAAAAAATCAATGATCTTTCAAGACTGTAGGTTGTTCAGGAAGTACCATAATCAGGGGGAAAATTAATCATAATGCGTTGCACTTTTAATTGTCACGTATAACATGGTAGGTGCTAGATATCAAGAGAAATCTTAAAAGAATATCATGATTAGACTCCAATGATTGCCATGATGTGCTTTTCCTTTTCAATTTTAAAGAGCTGATGCTAAGCAGCAAACAATATCATCATCCAAACATACCTAATCGATTCACCCCTCGAAACAGAAAATCCACGAACCCCTCATTTTATCTGTCAAACTTTCATAGCGAATCAAAACAAACATAGTGTAGTACTGGAATTTATACTAGAATGGGGTACGTTAATCGATTTGCTGGGGCTAGTCAAGAAGTGAGCCATTTTTAAATCGTTAGTTTCCACCGGTTGGTATTACTCAACTAAAAAACTTCTTAACTGGTCGGGATCTCGGTTGGGATCATGAGCAGTCATGTGAAAAAACAAGTTTGCTCACTAGCACCACCTAGTGAGCAATGCTTTTACTAAACAATCTGCCATCATTAAAGCTAAGAATCAACAAGGTAAAAAGATGACCCACTTATAAGATTTACAGAAGACACGAATAGCGCCTCCAGGTGAGTAAATATCTAACTAATACACTGTTAATGTTGGCCCTTTAACTTGTCAAGCTGAACGTCAATTCAACTGACAGTGACAATTTCGCTGACAGTATACTCATACAGTTTGTTGATAGACTTGATGCTTATGGTGTCGATCGTTGATTGTTGTGTATTTTATTGGTAGAAAATGTGAAAAACGAAGAATATGGGACGAACTGCGTGTGCTGTAACTGGTTGCTTTAGTGTTAAAACTCCTCTTTAAAGTTCATCGTTTTACCAAATCTTTTTTTTTTCCTTGATTTGTTTTTCGTCGATCTTGTTTTCCGTGCTGAGCACCAATGCTACCGACGCCAGGAAGGCAGCTCCCACACCTGGACCCTACCTATCGACCCATCAACTTATGAACCGGGGACCAACGGCTTTACTTCCCTTCCGAAGGAAGGCGTTATCAGAGATTTTATGCCTCAGAACATCCCGGCGGCGCCGACTGGGATTGAACTCAGGCCTGCTGGGGTGAGAAATAATCACGCTTACCACTACACCATTGGCGCCGCTGACCAAATCTTTTCTCGCAACAGGTAACTGCATAGTTTATTCATATGTTTATAACCTAACCCTATACATGATTCAAGGGATCTACGAGTCTGGACGCTTTTCTGTCGCAATCCGGCCATAAATAAGCACATTTAAATGTTCTAGGCATTTTAAGAACAACCATTTAATTAATCCTAAGAATATGGCACAAGGGTTTGTATTGAGACAAGGTAAAGTAAAAACAAAATAATATAAAATATATATATTTTTAAGGCTACGAAGCTATGCTATCCCCTCACTATTCCCAGCTATATCGGAAGAAAAAAAAATGCTAGATCTCCTTCTACAACGATTCCAATGGAAATCGACCTTAATTTCTCATCAGAAAATTTGGAAGATGTGTCGTCAATGGATGTTGATCAAGAATATGATCAAAGTGAGATCGATATCGTTGGAAAAGTAGAAGTTGGGCATGAAGACCTCGAAGATCATACCTCTATTCCACTTTCTAACGTACAGCGAACTTAAGTCCATGGCAGCCATACTTCCCATGACCACAATTATGGTGGAGATATAGAAAGAATTGTAAGTGCCATGGGAAGATTGGTTAGCGTATCAACAATAGCGGCAATATTTAACTCTGTCGTCGATAAACACGATAAGTCCATGGCTATCTAAATTGAAAGTGACTGAAGGGTATTTGAAGGTCTCTCGGAAGACGAACAACTAGTGACGATTGTCATAGATGAGATGTCGATAGCACAGCTACTGACCTACATGGCTAATGCAGAAATAGATTATTTCATGGGGTTCCCCACGAAAGTTGGGAAGGAGGACAACAATTTAATTATCGAGCAAATAATGCATTGACCATCCTGGTAAAATCGATGAAGCCCGGGTTTAAGCAGGCGGTCAGTTTTTTCTTTAATGCGAGTACTGTTAACGCAGCTCGTTTGATTACAATTGTTAAA